AGATATGAACTAAGACCAGATGACTTTACAAATTCCCATCTGGAAGGATGGTTCACAAGCAATGTCTGGAGCATTAGTAGATGCTTGTTTCATTGATCTGCAGAGCATAGAATTAATTCGGTAAAGCATCTGGTATTTTAAAAAAAAAGTAATCACGTTATGTTGAACACTTGTTTTCTAAAGCTCAGCTTATATAAAATTTTATTATTTAGTGGAGAAGGATGCTCTCGTGCTTCTGCACAACGAAAAAAACACTGGGAGGGCAAGCCCAAAGGAAAAGGCAATGTTTGGCCGCAAATGTGATGGTATCGCAAGGAAGGTAGGGTCTTTAGATGAGTATGCTATCAGTGAGGAGGGTAGAATCTGGAATGGAGAAAATGGAACCAAATATTTATCAGATGGAGGACTCAAAATGCCTAAGATAATGAAGGATATGTTACATCAAAAAATAAATAAGCATGGATTAAGCTTCGTCAAAACTCACCAACTTGAGATAATTGGATTTCTACATTCAGGTAAGATAACTTTTATATTGTACCTTGAACTATATATCTTTTGTATATACTATTTAATATCATTATATTATCAAGCACAATATCTCCAGTTACTCGTAATGGACATACCATCTTGGTATGTTTGCCGAATTCAACGGAAACCATTATGTGAAGTTCCAAAGACACTTGTTAATGTTGATGAATTAATTACTATAATTCATGAAGTTCTTGTAGCAAAGGTATGTTTAATTTGATTACCAAAAAATTTATTACGAGATTATTTATAAAGTTGTACAAACCAGAACAGTTATTACATAGTTTCCTGCAATTCTTTACCATATTGTACGTGTTTGTGCTTTTGAGTGCCGAATAATGACTTTTCTTTATTCTATATCCTAATCGTAGTAATATTCTATGCTATTTTTTTTTTTTTTTTTTCCAGTTTCATATTATTCGATGCCTAAAAAAACTTAACGATTATAATATCAATAACGAGATTCTAAAGGCACGATTAAGAAAAAGAAAGAAACTTAATGACGATTATGAATTCCCGAAAAGTCATGATACTCCAACAAAAAAAGGTTTAAAGACAGATCGATTTAAACAGTGATGTTGGCATAAATGTATTATCCACGTGTTTAAAGGGCATTTCTGTCATGTATATATATTTATTGCTCAAGTCTTTTTAGAACTTAATTATAATAAATAGTAAAATATTATAAAGATAATTTTATTCATTAGTTCTCTTTATAATTTCGAAAAAATTTTTTTTTATATTACAAGTTTATTTTATTAAATTTTAATTCATTTGAAAAAAAAAATATTATATAAATTTTTTAATGTTATAAATAATTTAGATTTATAATATTACAATAAATATATAATTAAAAAAAAAACTTATAATTTTATTTAAGATCAACTTTGACATCTTTAGCGGTATATTTTTAATGCGATGTGGATTATTCATTCCATCGCAAAGTTTGAAATCGTATAAAGATTTATAATTAAGTCGCATTCATATTGATCATGACAATTTCAGTTGCAAAACTTTGTTCAATCTTCGAGGTTTTCAACTAAAACCTTTGTGAAAATGAAATACTTCTGAATCATATCCAACTTATATTCAAATACAAAATACTCAATAACAAACAAATTGTGCAATGAAAACTAAAATCAAAGAAATTAAAGTTTACCGCGGCAATAGAAACTTTATTTAAATTATAATAATTATTTTATCTTTTACATTTAAACAATAATTAATTATATGAGGAACTCATATGACAAGACCAAAGATCAGAAAGCAATAAATAAATCGACTTACCAAAGCTTGTTATACCCAGGCCAATTATTGGTCGGTAAGGGTAGTGCAGCCAGAGAATGTGAAGATTTAGAAAATCTATCACACCTGTATGAAAATTTCAAAATCAAATCACACACATAGCGAAGGTAAAGATAAACTCCAAACTATTTGAAGGCCTAATCCAAATCAAAAGAAAAAAATTTTCTTCCGATTAGACG